TTCTGGTTGTCTTCTTCATGGCATAGAAACAGAATGTTGATTTTCAAAGTTATGTGAAAGCAAAACATTATTTGTAACGATGATAAGGAAGCCATAGCCATCTCTCCGCAGATCATAATTGCTCATACAAAAAAATCTTGATTTTCCACCATTGTTCTGGCCAAAAGTAAGGTCAATGTTCTTTATCGTAAACTCCAGGGATAGTGTTTCACACCATTGGAAACAGTATACAATGCAAATATAGGTGTGCGTGCGAGTGTGTAACTTTATACTTGTGATCTCTTAACATTGACAACAAAATCGGTCGTAGGTGAGAGCTTTTAATCAATTCCCTGACAGGCAGGGAGACCGACGGGCATGAAAGCAATCATTAAATCACTCAATCTCCGAGCACACATGATCCCGGCGTAGATCTCTGCACCGCGCAAACCAGGATAACATGGACCAATAACCTAGCAGGATCTGATGTGTTATTTTCTTCCAAAATCCCCTATCAAGCACACAATTGTGACCTGAGCATTGTCTGAGAGTTGCATGAGATACTTGATTCTCACTCTGAGACCTACCCTCTTTTTAATGTGTTTGACATTGGCGTACAAAAGTTAAATCCTAGTGCTACTTCAAGAACCAGTGTGACATTTGCAGTCAGAAATCCTTCGGGATGAGTCTTGGATATGTTTTACATTTTGGCATATGATGTCATTAAGTCAGGAAAGAAGAGGGAGTTATAATGGAATTGTTTAATTGCATTGCAACTAATAACTGTGTTGTCATATTGGGTTTTTAATCATCCTACAGAGGCAAAGTATTTAAACTGAAAACAACAGTGTGCCAAGAATAGACCCTTGAGGTTAAAAATGAGGAACAGAAGTATGCCGTTAAAAAAGAGAAGGTAACAAGTCAACAACTGTTTCCTTGAGACGTACCCACATATCTTTCTAGACACTCTATGATGCAGGAAATCAAAGCGATGCATAGCTGAACTTGAGCATCTTTCCAAATGAGGCTGTCTCCTCACATACAAAAAGAAGTTGAGTAATTCCCGATTGTTGCTACCTCCATAACATAATTTGTGGGATTTTGCAAAAAAGCTTTAAAAAACGATATATACTATTTGATAATGGGACAGGTAATGTCAGTCTTTCATGAGTTACTCAGTGTATAAATGTAGACTCTGGGTGATTCAAATCCTGAATTGGGACACAGCATTCTAGTCTGTTTTTTTAAAGACTTCATAAACATCATCATTCATTTGCCTGGCTGTGATTTTCCAACTGTCAGAAATAGGGATGGATTAGTCTGGTTTCTGCATGTGTTGGATTCAGCTGCGGACTACTGATTTATGTGGAGGAATGTAGCCAGACCACATTTATATGACATCTTAAGTGTGACATGAGAGCAGCATGATTGGAATGTGTTGCCTGCCATCTGTAACACAATATCCACTAAAAGAACAGGAAATGCTAATTATCCATAGTTTGATTCCCAGAGGCAAAAATGTACAGACACCTTCATGTTCCTCTTTGGTTCTTCAGTAAATTGGGTAAAGCCAAAGTTGGATACAATTTATTTGATCAGCATCAAACATAATCTTAAAAATGTTAGTGAACAATATCTCCAATGTGATTATGGTATCTGGGATTTCAGTAATTGATAAAAAAAAATCTAAATTGTACTCTTACTAGAATATTGTACTGAATTATTCTAAGGTTATTATTTGCTTGTCAAGCGATGGTCTCAGCATCTTACTGATTTCCAATAGCTCTGGAAAGATGTTGCATTATTAATGACACGAAACCACCCAAAATTGAGATGAAATTACATAAATGCCACTGAAGGTGAAACTGGACTTTTCTTGGCACCAATCTCACTGTTAGGCTCTGCTTTGCCAGCGGACACAAACAATCTTATTTCATGGTGACTCGAATCCTATTTGAGCAAGAGAAAGACAATGCTGTGGCTTAGAAAGAATGTAAACAGAGAGGGAGGGAAGCTTCAAATTGGGCCGGGAGTCTCCTGGAGAATAATTAACGTGACATTTCCCTGACATTTAGTTGGAGGTATGGTGGAGGATCCTGAAGAAAGGGCGGAAGGAAGAGAAGATATGAGCCAGTGAGGGAAATAGAGACCGAAAGGATGACAGGGTAGAAGATTATATTGATATTTCATCTACTACTTTCTTGTGTTGCTCTGTGCAAACATTTGAAAAGGGGAACTAAGCAGGAGTGCGATTACACTGCAGCAACTCAAAAAGACCTACTCTCATGTTCATTACCTACTCCTTCAGTGGTGATAAAATTATACTTTCGTTGCTTGGCAACCGTTTGTTTTGTACTTAACTGTACCGTTGGCCATCTGTTTATGGGCTGTAACATACATTTCCATCTCTGACCCCTGATAGGAGCGCAGAGCTGATGAGCTGTGGTCAGAGATGGTCCGCCCGACAACCCACAGTGTGCTCCAGCCAATTAGGAAACGACTAAGACAATACATCAACCCCTATCAGTGCTTTTAGTAGTTTGGTCTGTGGTTCGCATTGCCCTTTCAAGCTAATTAGGAATTGATAAACTCTGCCTCTTGCTGTGTCAAGGTAGCTCTTTTTTCTGTAAACCACCCATCGCTCTAGGCTTATAATGATGCCAAAAGAGTAGATGATGAATACCTTTATTAATGGAACTCACTGTATCCGCTTATCAAAAGGTTGTTATAGAGAGCTACACATTCTCAAGAAACAATAAGCACAATCACTTTATTCAAAAGGTATAGCACCCGTCTTCGTTACGCACTTCAAAACGTTCCTCCAGTGATGCTCTGATAAATTGCAGATATCAGGGTGCGATAATGGAGACAGCAGCGCATGGTCAAGTCAGAGTGGTCATCTCCTTTTTGTAGGCTACAGCACTTTCTCAGCTCTAACACAATAGACATTGATTTTACATCGCTTTGATCCCCACGAAGAAGACGTTTCACTGACAGACTCGCAGCACTCATCTCAGTCTGTTTGTGGGGTAGAGCTGACAGTTCTCACCACAGAGCATCACCCAGCACACACTGCTAATAGTTTCATTCCTATACATTTCCCAAACAAGGCACTCCACTCACTTTAAAAACAGAGTGGGAAAGAGACAGCATCTCCTTTGATCCCTTCAATCCAACCTGGAGGAGTGATCAAAGGCTGCTCATGTTTAACACTGCTGATGCCTCCCAGTTTGTTGTTGCAGGTGTGGCTCTCTGAGAGGCCTGCTGAGGCTAACTCAGTCTTTTTGCACTGAGTAAAGGTCGGATATCTAATAGAAGTCAGTGTGCTCAGGCATGGCTTTCCGATTGAGAACTACACGCTGACTAACAGAAGGGTGAGAACATAAACAATGAAATACTAAACATACAGATATTACTGAGAGGCTGGGTTACATGCTCATTCAACCAAATAGGTCAAAACCTTAATACAAACATTCCAGCAAGCAATTTTTTTTTTAACCTAAATTCTTTGCTAACAAATATTTCTAGTCCGACAAATCAATTAGCTGGCTTAATTATGAGATAACTGTTACAGAAGCAAACTCAATTAGTCTGGGTTTTCTATCATTTCTCTCTTACTGCAGCTGTTTGTTGAAGTGTGCAATAATGACATGTCACACAACCATCCGTTATAAATGTCACTAGCATCCTCTGTTGATAAAGAAAAGTGCTCCTTACATGCCTTGATTAATCCGAATGATTCAGACAATTCTAAATCATTTGTGACTTGTTGTTCATTCGCACAACAATATAATTGAATATATCAGCCTTCTGCCAAATATCTCAAATGCAATTGGCTCAGGGCAATGCTAGGCACAGAAACACGTCTAACAAAATAGAGAGGACAATCAAAAGGAATCACTTTGATATATTTCATGTTGAAAGCAAGGGTAGCTAAGTAAGTGTGTGTGTGTGTGTGTGTGTGTGTGTGTGTGTGTGTGTGTGTGTGTGTGTGTGTGTGTGTGTGTGTGTGTGTGTGTGTGTGTGTGTGTGTGTCTCAATGCTTTTGGGTTTGTTCATCGATGTGATTGAAGGTGTTTTTTTGTTTTGCTGTGTTTATAGTTGTGAACAGATATACTACTACACTAGTACATGGTAGGCTATAGGAATGGACTTTTGTTACAACCCTGGTACTAGAAGCATTACAGGAGATGCATATAATGGACTTTGTGTTGTATTTAAGATGCTTGAGAGTGATGTATCCTGAGAGCTGCTTTCACAGTGAGAGTCATGACATGCTTTTTCTAGCTCTTGAACTATAATGGAAGATAATATCAGACACATCCCACACTGGTACTGTAAATCACATCCGCTGGCTTATTCTATAATTCCCCCTCTTTTCTTTGTGTTCCAACCTAGCAACAATCACAATATCAGTAAACACAAAGCACAAAACACAGAGGTGTCCTAAATTGTCTCATGTTTTGCAACTGTTAATGGCTTTTGAAATGTGTTGATAGGTCTGAAAATTGCAATCTATGAACAGTTGCTCGTATTACTCACACTAAAGCTTAGCAGCAGTGCACATTTTAAGATTGTGCTCTTGTGGACAGGCATTTTTATGATAGGCCAATTAAAAAAAAATAATGTGGTCTAAAAACTAAAACATCCCATCTTCATTTCAAAATGCTACAAACAACCAGAGGCAATTACTCACTAAAAGAGAGAGAGAATAGCGTGTATCATATATCAAAATGTCAAAGCAAGAAACACTTTGAAAATAAGAGTCTGCAGCCATGCTAGCATCTCTGTGACATTATATATTTAGGCTAATTGGTGCTTTGAACTAAATGTTGAAATGTTAACACACTCACGATGATGGTGCTGACATAATGTGAGCAGGTATAATGTTCACCAATTATCTTAGTTTAGCATGTTAGCAACATATGCTAACTCACCCTCACAAAAAAGGATGATGGGAATGTCATTATTTTTGATTAACCTTGGATTGCTCCAACCAATTCCACCCCCAACTCCATTACCTTTGCTGCAACAGATGAGCCGGGCTTTTCCAGGAGGTCCCAGAGTTTCTTACGTTTTTCTGCACAACAGGTGTTGTCAAATTCGTCTCCCTCTCTGTCTTTCATATTGTCGGCCTCTCGTTTGAGCTCCTCATTCATTTGCTCTTTTTTCTGGTGGTACCTCGCCTGGCAACAGGACTCCAGGTAGATCTCGTCGATGCCCCAGTAGTCAAGCTCTTGACTGAAGGACAGGGCGCACATCTCTTCCATCATGTGCAGCTTACCTGTGCGGTAGAAGTTCAGAATTGAAGTAAAAGCCCCAGGATGTCGGTCAAAAAAGTACTCATTCTCCTCGAGGTTGTAGTCATCGCACACTTCCATCAGAGAGTCATGGGTGTTGCAATCTCTTAACTTTCCCAAACGTGTCCGTGGTAGCCTATCTAACGTTCGCCACAAGACCTCATGTGGGAGACCCCCAACATTCAGCCGTACTCTGCGGTAACATGACTTGCTGCGAATGATGTCCACCGGTTCAGGTGGTAACGATGATGTTGAGCGGGAGGCATCTTTGTTCAAATCCAAGGATTTCTCCATGATGACTTTAGGTTGAGGAATCAGGCAAACATCCAGGGCTATGGACTACAGCTGGTCCTGTTTCCTTTCATTATTGTATCTAAAAGATGACCAAAAAAAAGCAAAAGCATTAGTACTCTAAGATTGGCCCCAAAAGTCAAGGTCCACGCCCTAATCATTCGGCTTTGAAATAATGTTGTATTAGGTCTGGGCCCCATGGGCAGGTAATAAGAGATTTAAGAAGAAAAGTAAAACAATTTAAATACATTTGTATCAAAAACAACTTTAGATTTGTCTGATTTCCTAATATTTGCTTTTTCATTATGAAGTATTGGATACTCTACCCTTTCAGGCCTCTAAAATATTTAAATCAAACAATCCAAAGGGGCCAAATCCATTATTGGTTGAATTTATGTTAATGTCATCATGATGAGGGGTGCAAAAAAACACTACTTTCAAGAAGTGTTTTTTTATTATCCTGGATATACCTGGTTTATCAACATACTTGAATATAGTGAAATATGCATCATATTAAATCCACAGTAAATGTACACTTATATATGTTTCTTGTGACTTATTGTAAGGATTAAAATCCTTGGTGTAAAGGCAGAGAAAGAAATAACAGAAGATTGTTTTTATTATGATTTCAGGTTAGAACATGATTCCCTGAATTACCAATCTTAGATTGGGATTCTTGAGATAAATATAGAGATAACAAGAAAAAACTGTTTAAACATTCATTATTATTGTTCTGTTATTGGCTAAACATGAAAAGAAGACTAATTGAATGGAATCCTAATCCAAAATCTACTTTTCTGCCAATATAAAAATGACTTTAACACCTCTAGGAACCCAGCATGGAACTGCCGGCTGCTTTAAAAAATAATTTAACATCATTGGCTTAAAGAGCTCCTGCATGGGGAGTGAAATGTAACACTGACAAACTGAATTTTTATCTCTGGATTTTCAACTGATCAGATGCTGTTCATTATTTTTAATCATATCCCTAATCTACAATAAACATACTCTAAGATGTGCGTTCTTGAGATGACTCCAGATATCAGTCTGAAGAATCTTACATTTATATTTGGGGCTGAGTAGAAAACATTTGGAACACCTTGAATTCTTTCTACCAAAAATTTTGAAACACTGACTTATTATCTTTTTTCCAAGACTTTGTCTCTATGGGAACTCATGTAATGTTATGACCAACAATAACATCGTTTTCTTAATGAGTGTTTGGGTTGGTCACTGGCCGTGTGACGCCCATGCAGTGCTGTGGGTGCAGGACACCAGTGATGATGAGTGTGGTACAAAGTGAGCGCTGTCCACTCTAATGGTGCTGAAACCCCAGGAAGCGCTGTTCACTGCCTGAATCACGGCGAGCTCCCATGGGGGGAGGCAAGCTGACTGAGAAGAACATATAGCCTCTATCATCTCCTGTAGAAACCTACGTCTCCAAAATCCTCTTATTCTGACTTGATACGTGGCAAGAGCAGCACATGTTTGCATGCTGATCATTATTTTGTATCTGATGAGAGCTTGGAAGCCCTAAACACCTCGGGCCTTAAGATGTGATCAGTGGTCGCTGTCACACAAAGTTTCTAACACTTTAACAACACAATCAGGCCTGAGCAATATGTCAACATACATTACAAAAAACGTAGGAAATAATATCAGGAACACAAGATATATGAGGATGGAGACATTGTTATGTAGGCTTTTGAGCATGCAGTAACAGGCTGCGGGAAGCAGGGAAAATAAATGTTAATTTCAAGGAGCCTCCACCCTCCTGTTTTCTTGAAATCAAGGCTTCGATAACACATTTCAGCAATAAACCAAACACTACAAAAAAAAACACAAACACAGTGTGCACCCTACACTGTGATATTATGCGCAGCTTAATTGAGATTGAAAATAAGCTTATTAAGATATTTAATCATCTACAACTGCAATATTGTGAATGCAAATCCTTAATCGTTGAGCATTTCTCTGTTTTTCGGAGTCTGCCTGCTCCATATCGGTGCAGTTTAAATGCACAGTAGTCCTATGTGTACCATTGACAACACATTACAATTGATAGGTTACATATAATGTAAGTGAAAATATGGAAATAAGCTTAAAAACAATACCGTAGTGAGTTGTTGTCATCCTGCACTGAATCAAACCAGCACGTAGCGCTCTGTGAACAAACAATCCGCTGGCACAAACGGAGATGAAGCATTTAAAAAAGGAGGCGTCGTTATTGGTTTACTATTGCCAGGGTCTAACCCAATCCATTTCCCCCTCCTCTGCCTCCGACATGGCAGAGATTTCCTCAGCACGATCTACTGCTCACCCGCTGGTTTCCTGCTCTGCATTTCGCACCAGTGGTTCGCCCGAAGATCAACAAGTCTGCCGAGAGCCCATTCGGACACTACCTGTGTTCCAGTCAGCTGTGCGAGGCGGCGCCGCATCTTCTGAAGGTGGGTCCATGGCAGCGCAGCGCTCTCCTCCACATCTTATTAACTCTTTCAGCACCACTTGTGTGGTGTGTACCACCTGAAATAATGGCCACTGTTGTTGTCTTCAGGACGGGGTGTACTGTAAGAAAAATTGAATTATGTAATGAAAACATTAAACAAAGAAAAAATACTTGTATGATCTCGGGGCGTATGGTTTAAAGGCACCTCGGCAACAAAGGAGCCCCAATCAATGGTAAATGTGAAGAGAGGATTTGAACAAACATCTCATATGGAAGTACATTTCATGATGCTAAATATGAGGGTATGGCTTTACCCTTCTCTTATCATCACATAAAAGGGTATGAAAGTTCCCCTACATTACATGCATGAATGACGTAGTAGCAAGAACTCTACTGAAAATGCAAACTGGGAATGATATAATTGGACTGTTTATCTGTAGTAGTTCGTTTTAACTGTTTCATACAACATAAGGTAGGACATTCATTAGTTAGACCATGAGCGAACTATGGATAAATCAAAGAGAAGAAAAGTACCGGAGGAACACAGGATTTAATATTATATGCTTTCACAGCAAGCGATGCTGGTTTACCGGTATGTTTGATATATGTAGAGATAAGTTGTCAAAGGTGCTGCAGCCTTTACGTATCGAGGAGAAAAACGGAAGAGGAAGACAGCTGACGATCTTCAGTTATAATTCAATGGGGTATGCCATTTATTTCAGAAAACACTTTTTGTTATATTCCATGGAATGCTCTTAACGCCCCGATAGCAATGAATATATTACATGCTTTGACAATAAATACATAAACAAATTAATCTGTGGAAGCCGGAGCGCTGTAAAAAGCACGACCAATCATTTTAGCCGGCCCGGCTAAAAATAACTGGATGGCCTACCTGTCTGTCAGCCTTCCATCTGTGCACAAACTTATCTCGTGTGTCTGAAGGAAGAGGCAGATTTTTTCCGGTTGTGTATTTTCTAATTCTATCGCACTCAAGCTGGTTTCTCCATTCTTACCTACCCTACCGTTAACTCTTTTTAGGGTGCAGCTATAGGTTTTATTTATTTCAAAGTGGGCCCATTTTAATTATATTTGTTTTCCTTCAAATGTGCAAAGTAAAAAGGTAGGCCTGTGTATTATTTGGAAGCCAAAGTGACGTGTCCTTAGAAAGTTATTGTAGACAGCGGTGTAGGGCCTCGTGTAGTTGTCTTGTTCTATAGTTTCTCACCGCTGTAGTAAGGAGGGTTCCTGGTTCGCCGTATACGTATGAGGTGGCATAAGCATGGGTTGTTATTGTACTCACGAAAACTAAGAGGTGACGCTAGATATCACACAATCGAAGCGCAACAACGCAACTGTCAGCTTGTATATCGCTGGCTAAGAGTGAGTGACTCACCGACAACTATCACCACTCTTACAGCTAACGCCTATCACAAGCTATTGAAATATGTTTGCGGCTCCCAGAACAAATATTTCTTTTGGGAAAAAGAAGGCAACACACACAGTCGGACTCTTGGTCAAAGTGACAAGAGAGGTTGCGACGGAACCGCATTCTGTATGGTAGAGGACGATCCGGATGACTGTCAAGTTCGCAAGATGGTATGCCACTGGTTCGCGAAACAGACATAAGCGTGAGGGGCTGCTTTCTGAGGTGTGAGAACTGTCTTGATTCAAGCGAGAGCAAGAGGGAGGTGAGACCTAAGCGAGCAGTAGGAGACAGGGAGGACGATGCTCCGAGGAAATGTCGAGCGGACAACTCTGATGCCAAAACAGTGACAAGCCGGGACTTAAACAATCAGGAGTGGTGGCAAGAGGGGATGATACTTTTTCCGCACGGAGTGAGAGCCTCGCATATGACAATGAGATGACAAAAAGGCAAGCGATGGTGATGCGTGTGTGTGTGTGTGTCAGTCCGGATACTTGCAAGACCCCTCAAGTAAAGCGCGGATGTGTTGCGGCGGGGACGAACATCTCACAGCGTCTGTCAGTCGAGAGTGACCTAGCATTAGCTAGAAGGCCGAATCCGACTCGTATTCCGACAGCGTCGCATCCGGGAAGTGAATGTTGATACAACTAACACGAAGGGAACACTTATAATAACCAGCTACGTGACCGAATTGATTTTAGGTTTTCCATGGTAGCGCGTCTCTTGTAGCAGAGAAAAGCCGACAGACAACTACAAAAAGGTACCTCCAGAGCAGATGACAACGGGGGTAGAGGAGAGATGAAACTGAACAGAATCGAAACTCCGACACCTCTGGAGTGCGGACATACACTTTCCCACTGAAAGCCTAAAACAAATACGGCGACGTGCGCAAAGACAGACACATGTATCACAATCACAAGGAGGCCAA